GAGCATACCAAAAGTTAGGCTGCATAGACCAACCATGGTATGTTTTACTAATTCATATTTTTCATGTTACTATACTTAGGAATGTTCAAATATTGTGCATTAAACAAATAAGAAGAAGAAAAGGCAAACCAAATTGAACAGTTAGTGTAATTTATATAATAAAAGTTGCTATTGGGCCTGACTTTAAGTATACCCTGTATATGCCTGTATACATGAGGCAACAAGGAACTGGCCTAATAGTAAATAAAAACAAAAGAACTCTCTACAATGTTCATTGAGATATTATGTTGTACAGTTTGTTTTAGTAAAATAAAATACAAATAATGAAGTTCTGGTTTGTGCACACTGCTTAGGCTGCATTTTGGCTTTCAGATAATACATACAGATTGTGCAAGTATTAAACTGCTAAGAAAAGATGCTATACTTGCCCTTAGCCAAAACACCCAGGAGATATTGCTGCATAAGCTGTTAACATTTTTTTGTATTTTATGCTACGTTTATGTGTTTCATATAATGGTCCTGGTCTTTGAGCATACTGCACATAAATAGATAAACTAATAAATTTAAATATATTGAACTATTATATAAACAGATTAAATAGACTAGGGAACTCTTGTATCTTTATGCAGCTGCTCTCACATTTTGAACCACTTTCTGAATTGTGGCCAGAAGATTGGAAGTGATGGAGTTTTGGAGGGAGGGGGAAATCTGTTGTGTTTCTTCATAAGACAGATATCATTGGATGTTATCCATAGTTTTCTGCACTAAGTTGACTCAAATGACTTTTTTCCCCTGTAGAATTAGCTGGCGTTAGTTTAAAATGTTCCATGTATAAGTTTGCGATGACAGGTGAGAGGGGTGATCCCATGGGTGCTCCTTCTATCTGTTTGTATCTTTGTCCATTATAAGAAACAAAACCTACAACCCAGTAACCTACTCGTGAGGTTCGATGTCATATCCCTCTTCACCCAAGTGCCTATAAAAGAAGNCTTGTAAAATGTTTTAGTTTTGATAATGGAAATCTATCTTTCCTATTTCTAACCCCTGGGAAAATAATATTTTAAGGCAAAGAGACTCTGCCTACAGTAGTTTGCACAGAGTTGACTTGTCAACCAGATTTATTTATTTATTTATTTATTTATTTATTTCCCAAAATATAATCAGTCCCTCAGGGTCTTCTGTGTTCCTATTATTCTATGACAAACAGACAAATAAAATACCAGAATTTTCCATGTGAAAAGTTAGTAAGTCTTACGAAAAAAGTGGGAGGAAGCAAGTGGGATGAAGCTGTCAGTGTGTGCACCATCCCAAATGAGAACTAATTGTTTATCTTATTTTATATAAAATTGTCTCGGTCTTAGAAATTGAATGGTCCTATAATCAGAAGTTTGATAGTTGTATTTAAAAAATCTAAAGAAATCTTCTTCATTTGACTGCTGCTTTGAACTTATTGGAGAAGCAATTAGATATAGTTGTAATAATAGTTACTTAATACAATATTTGTAGCTGCATTTAAAGTTTTGCTGTTACTATAGTTCATGCAGTAATGTAAAGTAAAATAACTTTTAAAATGTAGACATAAAGTGGTGATTGACAGTATTTATTGTCTAAACCAAGGGTGGGGAATGATGGCCCTTTTATGACTTGTGGACTTAAATTCCCAGAATTCCTGAGCCAGCGATCTAGAGGCACATTTGGAATTTTGAGAGTATATGTGGGACTCGCACTCAAAATGGTTGCCATGATGAACACCTATTTACAAGAAAGCAAACAAGTTCCCATTTGCCACCTAACACATAGCACCGAAATTACTATGCCAGTAATAGTAAATAGGCAATAAATTCAACACCAGAAGCTGTTGCTTTTCTTTGCAAAATGCAAGCTTCATGTTTAATTTTTTCATGTTTTTTTAAAGTCATGTATCTGAAGGAATCATGTTGCCTTGTAATTTAATGTATTCTTTAGTTATCCTTTTAAAAGCTTTTGAAAATAATTGTGTATAGATTTCTCTGCAGATATTTAGATATAATTAATTTTAAAGTGGCTATTAGAATCTTTTATTTTTTAGAATGCTTTTTTATTTACTAAACTTTTTTAGCAAGATATCCCTCTGATTTCATATAAGTAGTGTGTTTTTCATTCTTATCTATTTATTCTAGTTACTTTTACAGCTTTTTTATTTTATAACAAAGTTTTTAATGTTACACTTAATTGTCACTCATAAAAAAGCCTCTCAACCAATTATCTAGTGTATAGGACACTAGATTACAAAGAAATCAAGGTTATTTTGCTGTGAAAAATCCATTATTCATCATTGCTCCATGAATCCGTTATTGTTTTTAAATACTGTTCTAAATTTTTTTTAACATAAAAGGAAAATTGCTTTTGGAAAAGAATAAATTGTCTGCCAGTTGAAAGGCTACATTTTGAAGTCAAGTTACTAAACATGATACTTGTTTGTTATCTCAGAAGTTGTTTATGTATATTATTAGAATAGCTATCTTGGTTTTAAAAAATTTTTTAAATAGGAGATTATTTTACAATGAATTATTATTTTTCATTCTGTAATTTCTGAAAGAATTGTAAGATATGTATGGCCTATCATATGAAATAAGAAAACATATTTTTAGCAAGTACTAAAGTAGAGGCAACATGTTAACAAAAAATTTTTTTAAGCATTATTCATTTTTGGCAACTAGAGAGAAAGAAGTTGAAGGTTAGCATTTGTCCTGCAAACCATGTTGAATTTTTTGCTATAATTCAGACTTTCCAGAAGTTTTATATTAATGGGACAACAATATTAGATTCAGTCTAATGACTGCATGATTTACAATTTCCAAATTTGGACAGAAATATAGTGAAAGGCAAATGGACAAGACTTTTTTCTCTCCTTACTTCTCTTGTGCAAATAGTCACATTGAAGTAGGTCAATTCGGAGAATTTCATCTATGCCAGAATTTTTTCCCCACAAGAATAAACACAGTCCTCTAGAAAGCGGTCTCCAACCTTTCTGGCTTGGCGGATCAGCAGGTGACAGCAATAGCAGGGAGGGAAGAGGGGATGGTTTTGTGTACGCAGACATGCACACATCTTTCATGAATGCAGCTTCACCCGCATGCACGCCCACCACTTCTGCAGCCTGGTTCCGAATGGCCACCAGGCAACAGACCAGGTGTTGGGGACCCCTTCTCTATAACAATGTTTCTTAAACATTTTGTTCTCAGAACCCCTTCTCAAACAATTATGGAAGATCCCAAAACAGCTTTTGTATGGGTTACATTTATATTTGCTGTATTAAAATTAATGTATTTGGATAATAGTGTATCATATTAACACAGGTATTTTTGATGAAAAAAACTTTGTAACAAAAACTAAGTATCAGACAAATAATGTCAATTTTGTGGAACCCCCACCCCCGATATCCAAAGTCTGTAGTAGTATAATAGATTCCCAGAAACCATTATCAACAGACTTGCTGTTTCCACTGTTAATACACTGTTACAATAAATGAATATGTTTCAAATCTATTCTATAATGAAAATACTCTGTTCGTTCACTCATTCATTCATTCATTCATTCATTCATTCATTCATTCATTCATTCATTCACACACCCTTAATTTTTTATTAACCAAAACTCCAACTCTGATGCTAGCACAAAGACCTTTTTGTAAGTGGGGAGACACTCTTGGATAGGAGAAAAGAGATTGTTGTCTCAGTTGTTTCTGCTGCTTACTGACAATTCCCCAGCCTGCATTACCTATCTTAAATTTCATGTCTCAAATTGAAACTTTTATTGTCTTTATGAGAATNGGCGAGGGAAGAGCAGGGCGGGGCCTGAGGGAAGCCGGAGGGAGGGGGCTCGGAGGGAGGGGGAGCCAAGATGGCGGTGGCTGAGGAGGAGGAGGTCTCGCGGCCGCCGCTGCCGCCACCGCCGCCAAGGAATTGCAGGATGATAGTGGCTGTGCGCCGGGAGGACGGCCTGCGGGGCTGGAGGCTACATGGCAGGTATTGCCGAGCACTGACTAACAGGAGTCGCGGGGCAGACTGGCTGAGCAGCCTTGTGTATGCAGCTCGCCTTGTTGCCCGATGGAGGCTGCTGGCGCTGCTGCGCCTCTGCTCTGCAGCGAAGATGCCACTGCCACCCCCGCTGGCTCTTCACGCCCGGACACCCGCTGCCCAGGAGCTGCCCGAAACTATCCTGCCCAACCACCAGCTGCACCGCAGCTGACTCGCCCTGAGTGGGCTGGAAGGCTTTGGGCGTCCGGGCGGGAAGACTCTAGGATGACTGAGAATCCCCCCTCGAAATTATTCCGGGTTATAATTAACAGCCAGGTTATAAATGGCATTGCATATACAGGAACTTTTCACTTCTGTTAGCATTGTTTCATGCTCTGAAACACTGACCTAGAAAATTGTAAACTTTTTGAAGTAGTTATAAGATGGAAGGAAAGTAGAAATATCAGAAATCCATTGTATCTGTCTCAATGAATCTCTTGTGAGCCAAGGTTAGTATCTTTTTAACTGTGGTATTGGGTTTTGACTGACTTGATCAAGACTGGGAAATAGCTTATAGTGACAAAAACCTTCTCTAACTCTGTGCATAAAACTTGCTTTCATAGTTATGTTTTGGTTTATTTGATTAGCTAGTTTGATTTCTATCCCTCCTTTCCTTGAGCAGATGACAGAAAATGATTAGCTAAAGTCACTGAATAAATTTCACTACCTAAGGATGGGCTTGAATTTGTGTGTCTCTGCTGTTAGTCCAACACTTTTCCAATATCAAACTGGCTTGCTCTTCTTCCAAGAAAAAACTTAGAATAACATTTTAAAGAACATTTACTTAATTTTAGCAGAGTGAGTTCTCCACTGTATGCAATTAAATGATTTTAGTCCACACAAGAAAACTCCAAGTAATGTTTAAGATGTTGTAAGATTTCTTCTTGTTGAAAATTAAAGACAATGGCTATGTCTCTTTCTTCCTCTCCCCTCTTTCTGCAGTTGCTGTGATTGGCTTATAAACATTTGCCGGAGGAAAAAAGAACTTAAGGCACGCACAGTTTGGCTTGGATGTCCTGAAAAATGTGAAGAAAAGTATCCAAGAAATGCTATAAAAAACCAAAAATACAATGTCTTTACATTTATACCTGGGGTAAGACAACCTAAATATGAAAAATGTATTTTACACTATTATTACATGATATCTATGAACATCTAGTTGTATAATCTTTCTTATAATAGTTTCACATTGAGGATTTTTTTTCTTGTACAAAAGAGTTAATTTAGAGCAAAATGGAATTAGGGGCTGATTTCGGTATTTAGTTTTCCAAAACTGTAAATCTGTTTTCAAAAGAAATAACTTATGTAACAAATGAAATATTGTTGGTGATTATAGCAAATTTAACAATCTCTTTTCAAATCAGTGACTGATTATATCTTTATTTGGTGTGCAGCATAGCACTAAAAAGTTACACTCCAACAATAAGTAGTATTGGTGTTCTAAGTTATGTGATCATTTTAGCTAGGTCTTGCCTATATATTTGGTAATTAATATTTTGTACCACCAGTATGTATAAATAGAAAATTCCTCAATAACATTTTCAGCTAAAGACTATATGAACATTTCAGATGTGTGGCTTAAGCTGTTAGGAAGAAGCAGAAAAATAGATTTTAATCTAATTTTAAGTATGTATTTAAAACTGCATAAGTAAAATGTATATGCTCCATTTTATATATTAGTGAAGATATAACCAATATTCAGAACTCAAATTGACCAAATTTGTTTTCTAAAATGGTGGTAAAAACCATTCACATGCTCTTATTTAAGAGTTTCTTAAGAGTTAATTAACCCTTTTTACAATTGTAAAATTGTATGTCAGAGTAAGATTTCAGTTGTTGGTTATGAGAGAAAGAACTTTTTCCCCCCTTTGTGTCCATGAGTAAAGTAACCCTCTTTTAAATGCAGAATAAATGGTTACAAAGCTCATTTTCCAGTATGGCTAGTGGTACAGATTACAAGAAAACCCATAAATATAGTAATTCCTTTTATATATGAAAAGCATATATTGTACTGCCTATTATGTGTACTATAGGCGTATAACAAAACCCCTTATTAAGTAAATCCAGTTTAAAATAACATTCCTGTCCCTTCAGATTTTGTTTTTGCTTATTATGGTTTTCAAGATGCAGAATTCTTTTCAGTACTGACAATAATAATTTGTTGTAATACAATTTGTGCAAATCACAAAAGGGCACAGTTTGGCGTTTTTTGTTCTTTGACTAATTTCACTAAATTCTATTATGACTTTAGCATTGATTCTTTCGATAGTTAGTCTTGTACTTTCTAATTTAATATTTGACTGAAAAGTAACTCTTAAGGGAGAGGTGTTTCAATGAGTATAAAATAAACAGGCTATTATATACTGTGCCTTTTACTGCAGTAATAAATTGCTTTGTTTTTTTGTTGACAAGAATGCTGCGACTTTCAAATCTTAATTTCAATAAGAATGCAGATTTTCTAATTGTTATGCATTGGTTTTCTCTCCACTACCCCTACTTACCAGTGCTATTCAACTAACTGTCACGTGCATGAATATTTCTAGTACTCCTCCCCCCATCCTTATTAGAAAGAGAAAAAAAGAGTTAAGAATGTGTTTTCTTTTGAGTATTAATGTCAACTGTTTTCATGCAGACAAATATTTTCATCTTTGCATGAAACCTGCATTTTGTGTATTTATACTTAAAGGTCATTAAATATATATTTAGTCATTGATTACTATAGTTAAATGCACAATGTGTATTTCAGTGGTTTAGGCAGAATCCTAATGCCTTTAAAGATCTCCCTTGATTTGTGAACACCTGTTGGCATACCCAGATGCATTATTAGCCTTCGAATATTTTTTTCTTAAAACTTTTCCTTAAGAAATGGAGCAGTTCGAAAGCATTTTGTAATTGCACAGTTGGAATCCTATTCTGGCTTTAGTATGAATACCAATTACTGAGCTATTAATTGATGCTAACTGAGATTTTAAATTAATTAGTGGTGAGGAAGAAAATATTGTTACCCTGCTGAGATTAATTTATATGAGAATTTAAACATTCTAGAAGAAAATAATTATGTTTCATTGTAAATATAAACACAGTATTACTCCAGCATAGTTTTTAGCTTCTGCTTGTAGTTTAGTTATAACTACTAAATCAATTTGACTTTCCTTGTATTGAAATTTCCATAATATGTTGGTTTGTCTGAAGCTTACATTGATTGCAGTGTGTTCCACCCACCTACAGTCTTTTGGGTAACAGTCTTTATTTTCATAATAAAAATGGAAATGTATTTAAAATCAATTACAGTATTAACATTTTTTCTAAAGGTAGTTAGGGATAATGGCCGAACAGAGTGACAAGTTATATAATGCTAATTTTATAGTACAATAAATTCAGAGGAATTATTTTGTGTCACATACTATTTTCTCTTATAATTGTATTCTGTATGGAAAAAAGATGTACTTTTCTTTCCTGTATCCATTATTTTGGTTCTAATAGATATACAACATTAGAGAAAAGTGGGATATGATTTTTATTACATTGGTTTCTTGAATAATAACTAGATGCAAGCTGTATGCTTAAAAGATTTTTCTGTTAGAAAACCACTATTTTCTGAGCCCTATTTATAAGGCAGATACTATCAACTTTGTAAGTTTGTAAGAATCACCAAAGCAATCCATGTCTGGTTTTTTAATGTTAAAAATGGTATATAATTGATAAATATTAATTCTCCTAGATAGGAGGTAAACTCTAGGTAGAATTTACTCCTGTCGATCTCCTTTAGGCTAGAAGAAAGTATTCAAGTCCTAAATGAAGCACCACCATAGTAAGTTACGATTATTGCCATTTTATGGTTTTCCTGTTTCTTTCACTCTAGGTTTTATATGAACAATTCAAGTTTTTCTTGAACCTTTATTTTCTGGTAGTCTCCTGCTCACAGTTTGTACCGGCATTGAAAATAGGCTACCTCTACACCTATTGGGCTCCTCTGGTAAATACAAAAGCTGTAAAAACTATTTTGTTTCTTTAGATAATGAGCAGGCTAGATTGCACATGTCAGAGGGTCAGAAGATTAAGCCCTCACTGTTAATGATTGAGAGATCAGAAGTATCCTTCATCAGCTTTAAATTTTTCTTCTTTTTCTCTTTTGGATTTCTATTGTCCTAATGTGGCCTCCAAATATTTTGACCTTATGGGAAGGGGATAAATGGGTTGGCCAAAATATCTGAAGGACACTAGTTTGCCTGGGTTGTTGCTTTGACTGTATTTAGATGAATGTAATCACCAGCATTCCTCTTAAAGCTAACACTGTAATTAACATTCAACTCACTGTAACCATGGCAATAACCTTTATATAGATTGGGGTATTTGAATGAGCTGGGGGAATGGAGCACATGAATCTGTGAGGGAATCAGGGATGGGGTAGCTTTTGCCTCTTAATCCTTTAAGCATAATTAATGTGGATTAAGACAGTTTTTAAAAGTGTCTTTTAGATAAAGTGTACTTTGTATGCCGAAAAGAATAAATTTAATTCTTTAATTAAATTAAGTATTTGGGGGAAATACCCTTTTGAGCTTAACCAAAGTTGACTAAGTAAGCTGAGGAATAGGCAATTTCAACCCTTCTAGAATCACATGGATATATACATTCAAATAGTGGGATTTTTATTACCACTCAAGAGGGCTATGGGTAAGATGTTGGGGCTAGCAGATAGTTAGTACATTCAGATAGTTCTTCATTGAATATTCTTAAAAGTACCATATTAAGAAGCCAATTTTGTTTTGAAGTTTTCAGTGTAAATATAAATTCATTTGATAAAAATAACAAAGATTAGGGAAGCTGTGAAGAAAAATTTACATTACAAAGCTTCCACAAAGCTTTTAATATATTATTAAAATATTTTCATTATTAATCTTATTAATATATGTATTTCAGCTCAAATTGTTAGATTCAGGAGACTGTGGATTGAAGTTAATTTCTTGTGAATTGAAATTAAAAACATTGGGATGAGAATTAAAATTATTTGATTCATGAGACCCCAAAATATAACCTGAGTATTGTTAATGCTATCGCTAACCAGAAAAGTTGGGTATGCAGGTTAATTATTTAATACATTTCTATATACCAGTTGCTTATTCCTAGCTATGGCAGGAATCTTTTCAGGCTGAAGAAACAAAGGTTACATGTTTGTTTGGAAATGCCATTGATTTCTCAGAATAAGAGATTACGTCTGTTAGTGACTTCAAACAATAGGTTATCTATCTTAAAGTTAGAAGCAAAAAAATATTTTAAAAGAAATAGTCATGTCCATATTTGTTTTACTTTATAAGGAAATACACTAGTCAGTTTTTAATCATATGTTTCACTATTCATTGTGGAGATCAGGAGATGGTTCAGACATTATATCAAAACCATTGTTTGGCATTATTTATTTTAGCCTTAGACACGTATCTTGTCTTCTTTCTTCATTTTAGGCAGGTAGTATTTTGTTATTTAATATGAATCCAATTATTTTATGGTGTTTTTTCTTAAGATTGTTTAATCAGGATCAAATTGTGGGACAACACGAATAATACTTGCTAGTTTATTTTAAGCATGGAAATAGGAGAGATGGCAGAACTCATTTGTTCAATGTCTTTACCTGCCTTAATCAGAGAACAGGAAATTAAGACTTGCTATTATATTTGAGTCATCCCATTGTTATAGATGTAAATTATTTTGAAGGAAAGACATTCTGGCAAATAATATCTTTGTACTTTTGTATAGATACGATTAGATTTATTGGTTAAACTCAGATTTTGATACATGCTTTAAAATAACCTTTAAAACATCTATTGAAATAAATATACTCCCATGGTTTTCAAATTTACTCTATTTTAGTGGCAATATTTTCCATTTAAGAAAATGTTTCTTCTATTTTAAATAGGGATTTGTTTTGGCTGTCACCATTCTGCGGGAAGCAGTTGATGAATTTCGTCGTTATAAACGAGACAAGGAGATGAATTCTCAATTATATGGCAAACTTACAGTACGAGGTTAGCAATCATTTTTTAATATAAATCCTAGGCAACATTTCTACCTTGTAGCTTCTATTATTTACAGTTAAACCAAGTTTGCATGATTTTTGATATACAGTATATCACATACAGCCTTTAAGCAATGTACTGTCATCTATCTAATGATTGTTAGCACTAAGGATGATCAGCCTCAGGCAGAAATCAAAAAGAAGTGCTTAGCAAACTGATATAAATTGATCATATTTGCCAATGGACTCCCTTCAGTAAGATAGATCACAGCTTGTTCAGGCATGGTTGATACCATGAAGGGAAATCAACAGATTATATTTCTTATATAACTAAAATAAATATTGCATACTGAGCAATGTCACTTTAGTTGAGTATTAAGAAATTGAGTTCATCATTATTGAATCAAATATTGTCATTCTGTTGATGAAATAGCTTATTTGTATCACACAGCTTCAAATCTGTTCCATCTTAGGTGCAGCTTCCATAACTCTTCTAGAGGTTTAGAGTTATGAAAACCCATTTATTAGTAAGAATCGTTTTTTTGTGCGGTAGGGGATTTTGAAGAATATTGCCAGGTGGTACATGAATGCGTGTTGCTGCTAAAAAAGCAGAGCTTGTGAAATTATTTTAAGAAATGCTCCCATATTACAGTGACACTTAATACTAACATCATTTCACTATTATTGCAGAGCGCATATGGCAATTTTATACCTCCCTGCTACTACAACATATAGTGTTATTAGGTTGTGTGCAGCAGCACTTAAAATATGTCAAAAGATGACCTGGGTCACAAATCAGTTTTAATGAGCAATTAGACCATCATTATAGAAAGTTTTATATTATGATAGATAAGTTTATTGTGTTTTTAATGTCCATTTATTGCCTTTATTTTTCCTTTTAGACTTTTACAATTTTTTTACATTTTTGTTTTATATTTTACATTTTGGTTTTATATTTTATAATTTTTTAATGTAACTATTTTTATATTTTTTACATTTTTAATTTTTATTTGTAGTCCACTGTCCTCTTGCTGGTTTTTGACTTAATTAAAGGTTGATTGATTAATGCAAAAATGAATACACAGAGCATAATTATTTAACAACTATCCCAATTTATTTGTAAAAAATACATCTGAACGGGATTGGTCTGAACAGATAAATAAGACAATTTCTTAAAATTTTGGGTTGGGTAATAAAACAGAGATGACCTAAGGATGAAATACAAAACTGAATCTTTTGATAAAATTTCCTAGGAAGAAGGCAAATCAAGGGGGTGATATTTTCAAACAACATGGAGAGTTATTTGCTACATGTAACATTTCATTGCAACAGGTTATCATTCTAAACGTGTGAGCAATTAGCTGTTAACTGACATCACAAAAATGTTCACTATTGCTTATATAGAGACTTTAGCTCTTATTCATATTGCCTCACTGATGCTTTTCTAAAAAAATGTTGATGAGGATGGAAAATTATCTTTTCATTGCTTAATAAAAAATAAATAAATTAGATTACACGTTAGAACAGTGGTTTTAAAAAGTTCCTCCCCAAAAACAATCAAACTGGACCCCAAAATTAGGTGAATTCTTCAGAATTCCTGCCAATTTTACAAAATATTTTGATTTGTATGAAAAAGCATCAGCTTCATGAAATTATATACAGGGATCCTTTCACAAATAGATTTGTCATTGCTCCGACTTATCTAATATTGAATAGCTATGGCAACAATTTTGGATTTGCTTGGAAACCTTGAGCAACATTGTAACTTTTTATATACCTGTTTCCAACTTCATGGTTTTATTAAAAAGTGTAAACTGCAAAATTTATTACTATAATTCTTGAAGTTCTTCAATCAATTCTTGATTGAGAGTAAGTAACTATTTCATCTTGACTAGCTCATCAATACACATGACTTCCTCTTGGTTCTGTCTTATATTTCTATCACACACATTTCTTATTGCTTCAGTTGCTTGATCCAGATTTCAGAAGCTTATATTAATATAGAAGTTGTGACATATTTTTGTTACATGTTTGCATGAGTGTTTATATTACCATCTTTTTTCAAACTATAAGACACACTGGACTATAAGATGCACCTAAATTTACAGGAAGAAAACAAGAAAAATAGTTTCTGGCCTCCACGCGTCATGTTTTTGCCCTCCCTGACCCCCAGAAGCACTCTGCAGTGCTCCGCATGGCCCATTTTAGCCAAAATGAGCCCTTTTTGGGGCTCCCAAGCCTTCCATGCGTTGCATTTTCACCCTCCAGGCCTCCAGAAGCACTCTGCAGTGCTCCATATAGCCTGTTTTTGCCAAAAACTGATGCGTTTTCATGGAAAGGCAGGATACAAATCCCAAAATTTCAACAATGGGAATTTTACAGATCATGTCTTTGTTTTGATTAATTTATTTGAAGTATTTATGCTACATTAAATTTAATAGCTACAGAGACCTAAAGGTAATGAGCAAGGCCAAGTTATAATGATTCTTTGTAGTGTGTGCATGTGTGATTATTTTCATTGTAGAAATATTCTGCTGTATTCCTATAAGTTGATTTTATTTACACTCATTCTTCTTTTTGAGCCGTTCATGTGTAATGAATTATGATAAGCACTTAATTGTGTTCTAGTTGCACATAAGGCTTTAGGCAAAGGCTTGTGCCTTGGTGGACCATAAAGCTTGAATATGCAGCTACTTCTGACAGCTTTGGACTTTTTTATTGGCAATTACACAGATGGTGAAGAGTGTTTTTAGTTTGTGAGATGTGTTTTGGAGGAAAAATAGTTTACAAAAATAATTTATGCAGTGAATAGCATTTGATAGTTTCCCAAATTATCCTTTCAAAGTTATAATGTATATTTTGTTTTCTGAAATGGTATCCAATGATTACTTTCTCTATATAGATAAAAAGCTTGTTGATACCTTAAGGTTTTCCTACATATAATTGCTAATTGCTAAGGCACATTCTACAAACCTCACTCCAGACAAGGAACATGAATAACAGTAATATGGAATTGTATGTTCTTGCCAGATATATACATTGTGTGAATAATATCTTGATATTTTATATAATACCTTGATGTAGATATTTTTTTGTAGGCAGTATTTCACACTGCAAAAGCTTGTTCTTGTAGTCTTGTAGAATGCAAGCGCTTTCTGAGAAAGAATAGCAAATTGTTATATTGCTATTTTGAATTATAGTTCCAAAAGTGGATGTGACATCTTCCCAATATTTATTTGTGACATAGAAATATAGGCCGATCATCAACATTAAATTCATTTGTCTTCTTGGAGCAATACTTAAGATGAACAAGAGGATGTTAGAGATGGGATAGCAGCTTTGATATACTTAGGTAGGAATTATTTTTTAATATTAAATTTAGGCAATCAAGCTAAAAACAGAATTTTAGGATTTCAAAACAGCATTTGCTTGAAATCTGATATAATATAAAGGATAGCTTCAGATTTCAATGTATGAAAGAGAAATAGGAAGGAAATACGTTGCAGCTGTTAAATTCTGGCAACATTAAACAAATTCTTGTGCTTCTACAGGATATATAATACAGCAGTTTTAATATTATTTTCTGAAAAATATCAGAATATTGAAGTGCATTTATTCTAGCTATAATTTATAATTGAAATAACCTAAAGTATTATTTACATTTATTTTTAAAATATCCAACTCACATTCCCAGATCATTTAAAAAGAGCTACTTGATTTTTAGGAACGTGGTGGCTCAGTTGCTAAGACACTGAGCTTGCCGATCAGAAAGGTCAGCAGGTCAGCGGTTCAAATCCCTAGCGCCACATAACGGAGTGAGCTCCCGTTACTTGTCCCAGCTTCTGCCAACCTAGCAGTTTGAAAACACATAAAAAATGCAAATAGAAAAATAGGAACCATCTTTGGTGGGAAGGTAATAGCGTTCAATGCACTTTTGGTGTTTAGTCATGCCGGCCACATGACCACGGAGACGTCTTCGGACAGCTCTGGCTCTTCGGCACCGTCTCCTAGAGTTGGCAACAACTAGCACATACGTGTGAGGGGAATCTTTACCTTTACCTAATAAGATCGATTAAGAAGATCATGTAAGAAGACATGTATTACACTGAGCTGCCTGACACACAAATGTAGGAAATCTTCAATTTATGGCCATGTGTTTAACACTTGTTCAAAATTATAAGTGGCTGAAAAAAGTGACATGACTTTTCCTCTCACTACTGGATCCATTTAATGATCACATGATTTGCCTATTGACTATTGTGGTTCATTAAACGACTGCAGTGGTTTGCTTAACAACCACAGCAAACAAGGTTATAAAATCATCTCAAATGATTCACTTAATGACAACTTAGCTACAGATGTCCCTTTCCTTACTACCAATTGTGGCATACGTTGTGGGCTTTCTAAACTTCTTTTATTTTTTAATTTGCCAAATAATTTTTTTTCTCAGCTGATAAAATTATCATGTAATTTATTTCAACAGCATGACAACATAACATTTGGATATAGTTTAAAAGTAAGAAAGAAAAATATTCTTCTTCAGTGTCAATATTGGATATTGATAACATCTAAAATGTATTTAGAAGAGTAGCAGGTTATTTGATGCTTTTGAATATCCTATTCTTTTTTCTTGTTTCTTTGTTAGATTGTAGTACTTAAATTTAATTTTTAAAATGAGTCATTAAACTTTTAAGCTCTTTTTTCTATGTTAGCTTAATAATTCAAAATGAATTCTGAAGGATAGAATGAAAGATAGAAATAACGTAATGGTAGAAGTTCTGTGATGTTGAGATCATTGTTTATATTGATTAATTTCTTCTTTCTTTAAAGGTAAAGTGCAAGTTAAAAGCTCAGACATTCAAGTTGGAGACCTCATCATAGTGGAAAAGGTTACCTTTTTTTGGTTAATCAACATTTTAAATGTATTTTTATGTTCTTTTGTCCTGGACATTACCTATCCATTGTTATTTCAAACTGCCCTGTAATCAAGATTAAAATGCAAAATTGACAGTATTTTTATGGCAGTCATGTATTTTGCAGACTTACAGTGAATTTGCCCTGCATGGTATCATTCTCTTTTTTCTCCTCAGAGAAAAATCATATCAAATACGGTAGCTGCATATGTTGATTAGAATAGATTTTAAAACAGAATTCAAAGAAATGTACAGCTTAATTCATTTATGGGTATAGAGCTAGGTTAAACTAAACTATTGAATTGAAATTGAATGGAAAATGTTTCCAGAATGCATATATTACCCGTCTATGGTTCTCTTTAATTGTCTGTAAATGAGACATCTTAAAACTAAGCCCACTAGTATAACTAACTAGTCAATTACCGCTTCAGTGTGACAGTAGGAATAGAAGACAATAAAGCTGCATAACCAAGAAAAGTTGTGCAAATAGACCCATCAGAAATGTGAAATCAATTTTCATTAAAAGAAATATTCCTGTGCATTTCTCACATCTGCTTCAGAGGATCAGATTTAAATATGAATTCAGGAATTCATACTATCAACAAATAAATCCTGATCAGCAGAACTTCAATGCAGCAAATAATACAACTTGAAAAATTGAAGATGATTGTTTTGGTTTTATACAGTTATATGTAAAGCTTTCATTTAAGTTATATATACATTTTATAAATTATAAATGTTTATAAATTATACATACATGTGGCACATAAATTTAATAAGGCATTATTTAATATATTTCTAATATATTATTTTATATACTAATATTAATCTATAAAATACTTAATTTGTCTCACTTTAAGTAATGCAATATTAGTAGCTTTTCTGAAGGACTCATAATATTGTCCTAATGTGTCCTAATACAGTCACATATTTTGACCATATGGGTGAGGGATTTCATTTATGTTAATTTTAATTGCATATAGCTAATGTATTTAATTAGCTAACAACTCCATGAAGTGAAATGTTTAGTAATCTTTAAAAACCAAGTAAGCCGCCAGTAGCAGTTAGTATTAGATCCTTGTCATTTGATTTCTAGGCCTATCTTTCACAAAGACAGAGTTGATTTTTGCAATTGGCAAGAATAGTCCCAGCTTACCTGGGTAAGTAAAATTACATTTTGGGTGGCAGAACAGAATCTGTTGCTTTCTGCAAAATAATCACCACAAAGCAAACTCTGTCCCTTTCATATGTCTGTGTGTCAGTGCACATACAGAAGGGTTATCATTTGTGTCATATTAGTACCTTGCTCAATAGTAGTAACTGTGAGAGGGATCTTGGAGTCCTAGTGGACAACCATTTAAAATATGAGCCAGCAGTGTGCAGCAGCTGCCAAAAAAACCAACACAGTTCTAGGCTGCATAAACAGAGGAATAGAATCAAGATCACGTGAAGTGTTAATAACCACTTTATAATGCCTTGGTAAGGCCACACTTGGAATACTGCATTCAGTTTTGGTCACCACGATGTAGAAAAGATGTGGAGACTCTAGAAAGAGTGCAGAGAAAAGCAACAAAGATGATTAGGGGACTGGAGACTAAAACATATGAAGAACGGTTGCAGGAACTGGGTATGTCTAGTTTAATGAAAAGAAGGACTAGGCGAGACATGATAGCAGTGTTCCAATATCTCAGGGGTTGCCAAAAAGAAGAGGGAGTCAAACTATTTTTCAAGGCACCTGAGGGTAGAACAAGAAGCAATGGGTGGAAACTAATCAAGGAGAGAAGCAACTTAGAACTGAGGAGAAATTTCCTGACAGAACAATTAATCAGTGGAACAGCTTGCCTCCAGAGGTTATGAATGCCCCAACACTGGAAGTCTTTAAGAAGATGTTGGATAGCCATTTGTCTGAAGTGGTATAGCGTTTCCTGCCTGGGCAGGGGGTTGGACTAGAAGACCTCCAAGGTCCCTTCCAACTCTGCTATTATATTGTATTGTATATTAACTCAGTGTTGCTTTGTCATTTCCTCCCAACACAAGACCTAAACGGTGCTGGCTTTCCACATTAAGTAGGGAACACACATAAAGAGTTTCTGATTCCAGAATAATTGTTCTTAACAACAGCACGTCAGCAAAAAATGAAGAAGCTGTTAAAGAAAATACCTATATGTTTCAATCCAAATGACCTTTCAATATGTCAGCATTGATTTTTACACTACAGTAGTTGTGCTTAAAGTGCAACCAGCTTTGTTGCACTTTGTTTTCTCCTAAAAATGTGAAGGGTCTTTTTTGTCCATGTTCCTATCATTCCCACCTGTAAAATTTCTAAATTTGTATACAGATAGCCCCCCCCCCCCCTTTAATAAACCTAATTGGTACTGGCAACTCCACCACTAACAAAGCAATCATTAAGTGGGAAAACATGAGATTATGACTCTCTTTCTTACTGGAATAGTCATTAATGAGTGATCAATTAGCAAGAACTCCCTGTACAGTGTGATGTCCCATCCAAGGGGATAACCTGGTCCATACTGGCTTAGTTTCAGAAATGCTGTAGATTCATACGCTTCTAGGACTCCATGCGAGTTATTTTTTACTTTAACAAATATAAGCGTAAAGGAGACTTATAATCATTGATATTTTGATAGAAAAACAAATATTTGAAATATGTAATAGACATGAGGGTTTGTTTTGATTGGTATCTGGAGACTTTAATGAGGATTGTAACATTAATCATGTTTGATGTGTGGGAAGTGCATTTTTGTCAAAGCTTCATCTTGTTAACAGGCAACAGTTTTAAAGAATGAACCGGAGTTGTGACTAAAAGGTTTATGTCAACATTAAAAGAGAAGCTGTAAAGATGTATAGTTAATCTATATAAAGACAGAGCATCTGATTTTATGTTTGTCATTTAAGGAATGATTTATTGACTTCTGAAGTTGCCTTTTGCCTTTCCTCTCAGTTTTTGCAGATAGTGGGTTCCCAAGTATTGAATATACAATATAGCTGCTATTCTTCACTAAGATTTATATTTTTGCTGTCCTTTTTTCCACCTTGATATATAAAAGGCTTCCTGTTAAATGTGGGAAGGGTATGTAGAGTTTGAGAATATATAATAAAAATTTATCATTTTGTTTATTTTTTTTAGCAGAAAAAAATAACAAGATTCTGAACTCACTTTTCTGATGTTTCAGTTAATTCTTTAGACAATTGCATCGAGGATTTAAAGTAGCCTGACAACCTTAGATAACTGAAATATAGAATCCAAAATCATTATCATTCACATCATTTCTTTATCCTGCTGCCTGAGTTGTCACAACTATAAAGGGACTAAATCAAATTTAGCTAAGCAAAATTTAAATAGTTATCTTAACTGCTTCAGTTTTATCACCTAAATTTCAAAACTGTTCAAAAAAAATAACCTAATGTATTAGTATCTACCATTACCTTAAAGTGACTAGAATGCCTCTTGGAGGAACTACATCTCATTTTACTACCAGATTACTACTCCATGATTTCCAATCTCAATCTACACTGTTTGTTTATAATAAGCATACAGTATTTTTCGGAATATAAGACGCACCTTTTTTCCTCTAAAAAGTGGCTGAAAATCTGGGTGCATCTTATACATCGAATACAGCATATATATTTTTTGCCTCCCGAAGCCCTGCCCCTTCACCAAAATGGCTGTGCATACCCTTATGGAGGCTTTCAGATAGCTGCTGGAGGCTGGGGAGGGCAGAAATGAGCAAAAATGGGCTGTTCCCCCCCTGCTCCCAGCAGCACTCTATAAGCCTCCATAAAGCTATGCATGCATTTTTTTTGACAAAAAACAGGCCCGTTTTCGCGAAAAATGGGCCGTTTTTTGCTTGCCCCCCCAGGAGCACTTTGCAAGCTCCCCCAAGGCTATTCGTGCCTTTTATTTGAAAGGGGGGCGTTTACGCAAAAACCGGACCGTTTTGGGGAGGTTTGCAGAGTGCAAAAACTTTTTCCCCCCTTTTGTAAAGCTTTTTAGTTAGAGTGATTGATGAGAATTACATTGATCAAGTGCTGTGCCAGCAGAAACAAGTCTTAGGTTGTCAGCGATTTCCTTCTCCAGCACATGGATAAATACACCTGGAAACATCTACCTACCTACCTACCTATCTCTCTGCCTCCGTCCCTACCTACTGAATTTCTCTCTTTCTCTCTCACTCTCTCACTCTCTCTCTCTCTCCCTCTCCCTCTACCTACCTACCTTCCTACTCTCTCTCTCCCTATCTACCTACTGATTTCTCTCTCTCTCTCCCTCTATCTACCTACCTACCTACCTACTCTCTCCCTATCTACCTACTGTACGTATGTATGTATGTATGTATGTATGTATGTATGTATGCAGACTGCTTCCTTTCTCTGTCTATCGGCTCGTCACAAGAGACCATCACGACAGAAAGCCATTATTTTTTACTGTTGCCTTTGTTACATTTGTGTTGTATTTATTTATCCCTTTATTTATCCCTTATATATCCCTTTATTTATCAGCACAAATACAATATATATATATATATCCCATTATTTACCTACCTACTTACTCTCCCTCTCCCTCCCTACCTACTGTATTTCTCTCCCCCCCCCCTCTATCTACCTACCTACTTCTTTTTAATTTGCCTCTTCAAAACCTTGGTGTATCTTATACTCCGAAAAATACGGTATGTATTGACAAAGCAGAGAGCTTTCTCCAAATTCTTTTGATTGTGCAATCCCCTTTTAGAATTTTAGATTAGCATTCTAGATTTTTTTTATACTAGTATCAAATTTTTCATTTTGCCCAAGGATTTTCCTGTTGTATTTGTTGATTTTCCCTTTGTTTCATTAGGATTTTGTGTAATTTTTATTATATATTTGTATTCTCTTTATGATCATATTGTATTCTATCTAATATCTGTAAAGACTTAGGGCAGTATAGAAATATTTTTATATAAATGAAGGACTATATATTATAAACTTTCATATATAGTGTAAGTATGAAATACTTAAGTATTAAATACTTAAATATATTTTAACTAATACTTAAATCACTAATTGAAAATAAGAGATTCTTTTTATAGTATTTATTAGTCTTAGTGTATACTTAGTGTATCCTACTTTCACCTCAACATGTGCATGATTGTTGAGCATACATAGTTGTTCTGCAGAACATCCTTGGCAGCAAAAATCACTATGTAAGTATTGTCTCTCGTCTGTTGAGGCTACCAGAGTTTATGTCTGTCAGGTGCAAACAATCAGGTCTGGACAGAGGAATTCAATTAGCTTCTTTAGTGCTCATGCCTATTTCACAGGAATATTCCCAGACAGGCAGCTTATACTTGCACTAGACTAAAAAGGTTCAATGGCATTTGAGGGGAAGGGTGTATGACCTTGTTCTCTTGTGCCTATGGAAAGATTCCAGACTAATCCCCCACTTGTCTCCTCCCCGTGGCTGAACCAGTCTCCCTCCCTCCCTCCCTCTCTCTCTCTCTGACATGACAGAAGATAAAAGAACTTCCATCATTTGCTTTTTAGCATATTATTAGTCACCATTATGCAGGGGTGTCAAACTCTGTTTCAGGGCCACATAATAGTTGTGTTTGACCTTGGGGGCTGGGATGGGCATGGCCTGGGTGGATGTGGCCAGCTTGTGTTGGGGGTGTCTGTGGTGGCCTGAGTGCTTGGCCAGTGAAAATGGGCTCCGGAGCTCTATTTTCAGCTGTGACAGCCTCCTGCCACCCTCTGCCAGTGAAAATGGAGCTCAGGGGGGCTGCACTCATCCCCCCCTGAGCTCCGTTTTTACTGGCAGAGGGAGGCAGGAGGCCATTGCAGCTGAAAATGGTGCCTGGGAGGGCCACACACGGTCTTGCCGAGCTGCATTTTCGCTGGTAGAGGCACTGCGGGCTGGTCTTTTGCTGTTTCTAGGGTGGCTCCATGGGTCAGATCTAGGCACCCCACAGGCCAGATCCAGCCCAGGCCTTCAGTTTGACACCCCTGCCATAATGGCTTCCGAAGAAAAGGTGCTTGTTTCCTTCAAGTCTCAAGATATTGTTGTAATTCAAGGATTAAGAACTTCTTTTTCACATGCTTCATTTAAAAACCTTTATTTTTCACTCCCTCTCTGAGGGAAATGAACGGTTAAAAAGTATGAAATATAAATAAATATAAAAATTAATAATTAGTTATTTATTGTTTAAAAATCTGATTTTTGAGTGGTAAATATATCTCAGCCAGTTAAATTTTAGTTAAGCATTAATCTGAATAAAATCTTAATTGCTTCCACACTTCTGTGAGATATTTTTTCGGAATTATATAATACATTGAAACACTTTTGGATTTTTTTTACCCCAACAGAATCAACGAATTCCATCTGATATGGTATTTCTAAGAACTTCAGAAAAAACAGGTATGTTGTTATTTTATAGTCTCAGGTGCTTGAGACATTGGCCTCAACTTTCTAAATAATGATTTCTTTAGCTAATCCTGGTTGATGTTGACCGGTTATGAACAACTAGCTGCGAGATAGACATGTTCCATTTTTTTTGGCAGCAGAAGTATCTCCCTTGCCATGATAACAAAATCACTTCATTCTGTCAACTGAAAGAAATTAAAAGATGTTCCGTCCTTTGCTTTGGTAGTCTGGAGCCATGAACTTCTTCAAAATTTGTTTTGATCACAACTTGGTTGTAAGACCTCAAAATATTTGTATATATAGAACAGCTTCTCCTACCTCTATGTCCTCCAAGTGTATGAGGAAATAATCCATACCAGAAGCCTCGATATGGACTATATGGATGGAGGTTTCTAGGAGTTAAGACTGATGTATCCGTAGGTTAGGGGAAAATTCCAGATTTTTTCAAAGCCTTGATCATCAACATCTGGCACTCTGCAAGTCATGTGGGCTCTTCAATGTACTCTGTTCCAAAGTCTAGATTTCTTCTGCAGTCCAAATGATATTTCGGAATAAAATAAGCCACATCATACATAGTACCATCTACTTTTAAGTACAGTTGCATAGAAATGAGCTGCTGATAAATTAACATTAGAATACATACAGATAGTCCTTGACTTACAGTCATAAGTTGTGACGGTTTGTATAAAACAAATCATCACCTGGCTGATTCAATTTTACTTTTTTGTGGTTGTTAAGTGAATCATCATGATCATTAAGTGAATCCACAGACTTTAAACAAACAGTGTAGTTGTTAAGAAACCTATTGTTTACTATGGGGCATTTTTGCCCCAAACCAGAAGTAAACGCCAGTATTCAGCAAAAACGGAGTAAATTGCAGTCATATGACTACAGGGTGCTGTAAATGGCCACAAATGCAGGCTGGTTGCTAAGCACCTGAAAGGCAGTCATGTTGCTGTGTGGTGGGGTGTGGGGATTGGCTATCAGAGCTTTGAAACCAATTTGTAAGTACCTTTTGTGGTGTCTGCTGTAACTTTAAATGGTTGCTAAGTGACTGATCATAAGTTAAGGACTACCTATATAAAAATATTAAATTATGTTTTTATACAGACCATATATGTTCAGAAATATAGAAAAATGTAGAATATAGAATGAGATATTTACTGTTGCATAATAACAGGTAAATAGTATCATTCTTGATAAGAATTTTGAAAGAATGATTTGCTATTAGTAACAAATATAAGCCAATTTAATGGGGCTACTTTTTAAAATATATTTATATGATTAAAACTAATTGTATTTCAAAAATTAATCATAACTCTTTAATTATTTTATGCATGTTGTAATTGTGACTGATGAATAATATTTTGCTGACATTAAGAGCTTCATGTAAACTCTTCCCATTGTTATTTAAATATAGTTTAAACATATTAAAGAAAATTAACTTGATTTTTGTTTTATGTTTATGTGTAATGTGTAAAATATTAAAAGCAGGATTGAAGAAAAATTTTCCCAGTTATAATTATAGTTCATTATGAATACAACTTCCTTTATTATGGTTTCTCAAATTAAGCATTAATTCTGAAAGTACAGAATCCACTTTGTTATAGATATAAGATTTTTCTAAATCTATTTAGGGAAAATGTTATAAAAATGAAGACATGTCCTGCTGATTTAACAATTCTACTTAATTGTTTTACTGTTACACCTTATAATTAATTGCAAATTATTGTTTGGCACCTTTTTGCAGAACAGATTTGACATTTTGAACTTCTGAAATTACACAGAAATGTGGTATCACTTTGCTGTTCAGCCATTCAGCTGAAATGTCACTTTCTATCTCTTTCCAAGCGGACTGCTGCAGAATAATAAGGCTGTAACAGTTGTGGCACGTGTTCTGAACATTCCTATTATGTTTAGAAACCATACATTCTAAAACCTACCTGTCTTGAGAGGAGAAAAAAATGTTGAGAAATGTATTGCTATAGAGAATGACAAATGACTAGAGTGAAGTTTTGCACATACGGCCAAATAAACTTTTATCTTCAGGGCATGAGTGACTGCCAACAATCTGTCCAAACTATTTTAATCTGTTCCCATATCTCAGTTCCTATTCTGGTTTTAACATTTGATTTAACTTAGGCTAACCATGTTTTGACATCTATCTCGAGCCACCGAATGCTATTGCTTTTCTCTGTTTCACCTGTTGTTTTCTACATGAATCCTAATAGAGTAAGATTAATACAAATTGTAAATATATCAATAAAAGCTTATTAACATGTCTATGATCAAAGAACTGGTATAGCTAAAGGGCTTATCTAAAATCAAAGAAGTATTTGATTCTAATTGTGCCTCTGTTATAATTCCACTAGATTTAAGCTATTTTATCTTGTTCCATTGTAATACCAGGTTCACATTGCAAATTTTACCAGATTATTGTAAAATATTATAACTGAAATCCAGAGACACTCCTTTTTCTTTCTTTCAATGGCATTGCATGAAGTGTTGGACTACTGATATCTGAGTGGTCTATCACACAGTACCTATAAAGGAAAAACTCAACTCTGTGCAGATGTTTGATGATTAGGTAGTAGAACTTCCAATCACAGCAAGGCAACATCGAGGACCTCTTTCCAATTTATATTCTAGAGGGAGGGTGGAACTAAAGGGAAATGGTTTGGAAAGGTATGTGTAGAAGGATAGGTCTGAGGGAGGCTCAAGAATCCTAGTCCAGAAAAAAACCCAATCTATGAGAAGTATTGGATGTTGAATATATTTGGTGCCAAGCAAAACAAATATTGACATTTAGATACATTACAATGTTAAGTGAATCAATTTATAACCCTTTAAAAGTTATTTATTAAAAGTTAATTTGTTTCTTTGTTTAAGTGTTACATCCTCTGCAGGCAATTTAGTCACGTTCTTAATGACGTAAGAAATAAAGGGGGAGGGGGAAGCAAAATAATTTCTAAACATAAAAGTACTTCAGTGTGGCAGCATGATCAAGAGAGATATCCCAAAGTCAATGGAATAATTTTGAAGAAAAAGACAATATGAAAACGGCACCCAAATAAATAGTGTATAATAGCGATTATGTGTATACACTGTGTAGAGCAAATAAATCTAAACATAGGCCATTGTCTTAAGGTATTTTACAAGTGCCAAAAAATACAATACTATATTTTTAAAAATTGATGAATAATTGAATAATTGTTAAGTAGCCCACATATCATTGACTCGAATTGCCAACTCCCTGGTGGCTACCTGAAGGCTAGGGCATTTGGAAAGTTCCATACTTTAGGAGGCAAGATGCTCCTCAAGGTTATGAGGACAGATGCTGAGAAAATGCACATGGAATGGTGATCTGCCTAAATTCATTCTTCAAGAATTTGTGGGGCAGACCAAGTCTTTCAATATCCAGGAAATAAGTCATGTATAGCTTTTAAATTTCTAACCAGCCCTTTGAATTGGGCCTGGAAGCATAATTGACAACCAGTATAATGACTTTGTCAATCGCTTTACATGAACTATATTTGTTTCTAGTGGTTAGCAGATAGAATGCTGCCCTTTGAGTCAAATGGAGCTTCCAAACTGTCTCCAGGGTCAGCTCTATACAGAGTGTGTTGCAGTAGTCTAAATATGAGATGAGAAAGCTATGCAACATTGGTAGGATTTCCCAATCCAGATAGGCCTAGCAGGAACTCATCATTGGGACTGAACAGAGGCTAATATAGCTGTGGCTTCCACTTGTTGTTGCAGGACCAAGAAATCCAAAAGGAACTCCAAATTATAGATCTGTTCATTTAGGAGTGTCGTTTCTAGATCAGGAGTGTCAAACTGACATTCTGCAGGCCAGATGCGTCATACGCAGGCCACGCCCACCCCAGCTCTGTAAAGGGGAAAAAAATGTCACCAACATTATGTGACACCATGAGTTTGACACTCACGCTCTAGAGCTAAAACTGGAGCCAGAGTAGAACCTTATATTAGAGCTTCCATTGCACAAGATTTAACTTGAGTTTATTTTGACTAATCCATGTCCTAACACTTCTAGGAACCAAGACAGGTTTATCAAGTATATTTGAATATCACCAGCCTACTGATGATAACTTACCCCAAACTGTTATGATGGTTTAACGGTTAATAATAAAAATAATATATCATGTAATAATAATTGCTGAAAGGTGTATGCTTGGAAATAGTTGGGAATATGCCATGGTTTTTTTTTAATCCTCGCTTATAGTGTTTGTGACAAGAAGACTATCAGCCATTTTCATACTCCTTCCATTGAAAATGTTATGTTGCTTCACTCCATAATTTCATTAATGTAAGAATAGGAGCAAGGATAGTACTTTTCTATGCAGCAATGTTCCTAGCATTCTTTTGTTATTTCTCTCCTATTCCATTTCCTGACAGCATTTTTGCTAACTGCAAAAGAAAGGTCAGCTGCAATCTTGTTTGTCATGAATTTGTTTAATCTATTCTACACTGAATGATAAAATACAAATATGTAGAATTTTGCCATATAGAATTATGGATCTTTCCAAAACAGGATAGGCCCGTTTACTGAGGACAGGAATGTCAAGGAGATAGTAGACTCTGTCAATTGAAATATGAAATATCCTTTTGCCTTCATAATATTTTAAAGGTAAAAATGTTATTTCTAAAGAGAGCATAAATTCTGCAGTTAGAATTTAAGATGATGTGCAAGTATCCAGACTTGGATTATTTTCAGTGAATGCAAAAGAGTTCCTTGAAGCATTTAATACAATAGAAATTCCTAAAACGTACAGAGTCTGTATAAGAGCTCTCTACAATATATGCAGTGTGATCAAGCTTGGATTAAAAGCATCTGTGTTCTTGTCAATAAGGAATTGTGATGAGTTCAGGGGTATTGTATTGATTGTGTATTAATACATGGTATCCTATTGGACCATAAGCTGATTGTTTAGAATGTAAATGAATCTGTTGATGGATCCAGTGACTGATGGCTT